CAGGGAATACTTTAGGGAGGAGCTGCATGAGGCAGGTCCGCAGGTGGCCTTACACTTCACCTCAGACATCTGGAGCAGCTGGGGTGGCAATCATGCCTACCTCTCCCTCACAGGGCATTGGTGCAACCAGTCAGGCCATCGGTGAGCTCTCCTTCAAGCTAAAGTGATGGATGAGTCCCACACAGCAACAGAGATCACAGGGGCCATGAACCACTTGGTACAGGGGTGGCTCACTTGGCAGGCCGAGCTCACCCGTGGGTTCAGGGTCACCAAAAATGGGGACAATATGGTCAAGGCAGTCCACGATGCCAACAAAGTTGGCATCCACTGTGTAGCACACAAATTGCACCCCATTTTCAGGGATGCCTTGGAGAAGGACAGGGGCTCTGGACCCTATTTCTGTTTTCACCCTGCTGCGCCTTAACACACACATGTGACATGAGCTTTGCTTGTCAGCAGCTTGAGGTGCAGTTTCCCAGAAACCCCTGAACCTATATCCTTGAAACTTGGCAGGCTTTGTGGCCTTAGGAGGGGCTATGCCTACTGTTTTCACCCCCCTGTGCCTTCACACATACAAGTGATGTGAGTTTTGCTTTCACGATTCTAAGGTGCAGTTTCCCAGAATCCTTCATACCTATCTCTTTGAAACTAGGCAGACTTTGTGGCCCCAGCAGGGGCTATCATCTGTGATGTTTTCATTTGAATCAGGCCAGAAATGATAATGTTATAGGCAGTTTTGTGATTCCCCATTGTAGCCTATGGGTGAAATGTCAAAATGTTTCGAAACAGTGAAACAGTTTCGATGAAATGACATGGACAGTGTTTTGAAAAGAAATGAAAGGTCAAAATGAAACACTGTCCCTTTGACATGGTGAAATGGAAGTCGAAATGAAACTGCTGTTTTGCCTAGCCCTAATTATCATTACTCAGTGAGCGTGCCTACACATGAATTTAAGCAAGGTTAAATGTAATGTGCATTAACACTAATAAAGTGTTTTTTGGTGCCTGCCATCTACTGTGCCCACCACTACATGTGGTGGGACTTGGGACTAATCTTAGTTCCAGGTCCCTCCAATCCTGCCATATTCCCCTGTGGCCACTGCAGGGAGCTCCAGCTTCTGGCCACATGGCTGCCAGCACTGGGCAGCCATGCTGAAGTGAGAACCAGCTGCCAGCACTTGGCAGACATCTTAAAAGCACCCCCTCCACACTGTGTCCTCTGGGTCAATGCTCCCTGTGTCAGAGCAATAGCACAGCTGATACGCAGGCAGTACATGTCTGCTCTGCTCCTGCCACAGCTCTGCTTCCCAGCCCTGGCTGCCCCAGCTCTTGGCCCTGGCACCCAGCGACAGGCTGCTGCAGCTGTCCTACTCACCTGCCACCATTCCACATACCTGATGCTTGGCCACCTAGCATCATGTAACTCCTCTGCCCACTCCGGCCACCTGCTGGATGACTGGTACATGATTTCCCAGGGCTCCTGCTGCCATACAGCTGCTCTTGCCAGCCTCAGTGACCATGGACTCCAGAATGCCACCACTAGGACCACCATCACCTACTTTAGGAAGAAAAAATGTCCAGCACACCTACTGCCTAGGAAATGACCTGCTGGGTGGCACGGAAGTGGAAAGGGATCTTGGAGTCCTAGTGGACTCCAAGATGAACATGAGTCGGCAGTGTGACGAAGCCATCAGAAAAGCTAATGGCACTTTATCATGCATCAGCAGATGCATGGCGAATAGAACCAAAGAGGTGATACTTCCCCTCTATCGGGCAATGGTCAGACCGCAGTTGGAGTACTGCGTGCAATTCTGGGCACCGCACTTCAAGAGGGATGTGGATAACCTGGAGAGGGTCCAGAGAAGGGCCACTCATATGGTTAAGGGCTTGCAGACCAAGCCCTATGAGGAGAGACTAGAGAACCTGGACCTTTTCAGCCTCCACAAGAGAAGGTTGAGAGGCAA